TAGGGTATAAAATTGATCTTCGCAAATTTTCCTGATTTTCCAGTCACTCTACAGGTCATATTTATAGACATATCAACTCACAATTTTGCATGGCATAAAAGCTTATAACAGGACATTTGGGGAAGTCATCAAATAATATATACTCGGAGTGTGATCAAACTCGGAAGTTACAATTTATATATCAATCTTATATCGAGTTCGAAAACGATCAATAATCTTATAAAGAGAGAAAAAGGAGAACTAATATGGTTAAAATTGCGTTCAGCGAAATATTTGTATCACGCTTAAGTCAAGAACGTAAATATATAATATCTGTCAACCCATTACTATCGCCATCACCAGGATCAAAATTTTCAGTCGATATTGCCACTCAGCCTTGAGTTAGCATTATTCAATCTGGGGGAGGTTCCGAAACAATTCGTATCTTTCCTTAGACGGATATAAATATTATAACGTGCCTGATTTGGACTATAGCGAATACTTCCTATACTTTTTTTGTGGAAATATGCTTGAGGTAACCGATATAGCGGACCGAAGTATTCCATTTTAATATATCATCTAATACAGATAAAAATTCGAACATTCATATCCAATTTTATGCGAAATCATAAATTCCATGCTCATCTAAGGTCTCTGATTAAGAGAAATTTTTATGTATATTTTGAAATTAAAAAGAATCGTTTACTTGACACATTATTCATGAATATTCAATATTCTGACTCTTTGTGGGGGAGGTACCAGAAGGAGTGGACCCATGTAATCCATCTTCACACCAGACCTTGGATTAATAAAAATATTCTGATGTGTGTAATTTGAAGGCAAGCGAAGCTTTACATAAAATTTTATAAGAGTTGCAATTATTCCAATTGTTTACCCTTTGTGGGGAAGGTACTTGATGGAGTGGAGTGGAGTGTACATTTTCGCACCTGACCTAGCACTGGTGTTTTTAATAAGATTTGAAAAGTTGAAGCAAAATTGGATTATCTGTTCCCCCTCTGTGCAGTAAATTATTTTCTTTAAAAATGTTGGTATTTTGTGGGGGAGATGACAGAAGGAGGGGACCGATATTGCCCATCTTCGAACCCGATCTAAGTATCAGAATAATATTAAGATGTACCAAGTTTGGACCAACTCGGATACTTGCTTCGAAAGTTATCGTGCGCACCAGTCAGACAGACGTACGGACGGACATCGCTAAATCGACTCCAAATGTCCTGAAACGGATTTGGACCAAAGAGACCTAGGACACGTTTTGGCCGCATCAAATATACCCTCTGTAGCCATATGGCTGAGGGTATAAACATTACAACTCAATTTTCTGAAAACATTTTATATTTCGAAACTCAACAAATATGGGATTTTATATTGCAGTGATTATTGAAAACTTTTTCATGAGGTTCCCTAAAAGTCTTAGCTGACATTTTATTCACATCACCTTACCTACTTTTGTGTAAGGTATGAGATTCCTAAGTTTTTATTTTATTTTTTTTTTCGTATTTTCGCTTCTGATGGCAACAATTTTGATATATAAAATATCGAAAATAAGTGAAAACTTTTTACTTTTTTGAAAATCCATTTCCACTACATTTGAACAAGTTATATTCTTCCTGTTATCAGTGCTATATAATGCAATAGTAAGAGCCCGCTACTTCGTCAACATAAAGTCCAACTCATTTTTGATTCGTGCCAAAAGTTCGTATTAGACCTTTTGAGTACTGAAAATGCACAATTTGTTCTGATTTACAGAATTATCTCAACGACTCCATATGTAAACCGTAGAAACCAACAGTGACCTCAATATCAGAATTTCAGCTCTAAACCTTCATGCAATATCAATTTTCACCCTAGACACCAACCGGGATCCAAAATTCAAGCAATAACCAATTTAGTACCACTCAGCGGTTTTCGACAAATTATAGTACATTTAGTACTTTTTTGTAATTAATTATAGTACTCAATTGTAAAACCGTTTTATATTTCAATCTCAGATTTCAGCTTTATGCTTTCAAGAAATACAAAATTGAGTAAAGTTTAATTCTTTTCGAACATTTCCGAAACCATCTCCAAATCTCAATCTCAGATATCAAAAGTTATATAAATATCGAATTTCAGAATTTTATCTCTATCCCTACATTCAATACCAAATTACACTTAGTACTTTTCGTACAATTATACTACACACTTTCCAAAACCACCCCCATATGTCAAGGCTACACATGAATAGCAACCCAATGCGAAATTTCAAACTACAAGCGCTATCCGTCCACCCAATATCAAATTGTACACAATATAGTACTATATTGTACTTTCCGTGCACTTATATCAAACTCATCTCATAAAAATTTCAAATTTTTAGCTCTATGAGTTCACATAAAACCAAATTGTACCATTGGAGAACTTTTCGTAAACTTAAAGTTCGAATTTTCAAAAACCATTTCTTACATCTATCCATCAGTGACTTTCACTACGTTGGACCAATACAAAGTATTCAATTTTTAGCACACTTCAATACTTTTACGTCCCTTTAGTACGAATTGCCTTATCACACGACTACGCACTAAGAGTGACTCTCGTGTAAAATTTTAAGATTCTTGCGCCAGTCCTTTGATCGGTTAGATATCGCGCCTAATCGAAATAAAAGTTTTAGACTCTATGTCCCTTTGGACCAAATCAGCCTCAGGACGTTTAGAGTCGATCTAGGGGTGGCCGTCCGTCCGTCTGTCTGGCTGGTGCACACTTTTACTATCAAAGGGAGTATCCGATTTGGTCCAAATTTTGTACATCGTAATTTTTTTGTTAAACTTAGACCGAGTTCGAAGATTGGCAATATTAAGTGGAAACTAGCCCACCAAAAGTCGAGATTTCCAAAAGAATTTTAGTTTTATTTAATTCTTTGGTTCCTCTTCTATTGAGCTTACGATATTGTCACTTGGGTAAAAAAATGTTTTTTGTCATTGAAGTTATTTTTAAAATAACTTCTGGGGAGAATATCCCAGACAAAAAACAAGGGAACTGATGAGGATTGGTGGCTCTTTCCGAAACCTAGGTATTCCCTGCCTTACCCCCTGGTAAACATTACCATCTTTCTCCACTAATAAACAAACGTTGTTTTTATAAAAACAACAATAAAGGGATTAAGCCTGACCATATTGCAACAACAAAATACTATGGTATCCCGAACAAAACAGCCAACACTGTTCTAAAAAAAAAAAATATTTGAATGTACAGAAAGAGAAAATATATCCCAATTTTGCTCCAACTTTGTAAATCCTAATATTTTAATTAACCCTGTCAGGTGTGTAGATGGAATATATCGGTCTACTCCTTCTGGTACCTTCCCCACAAAGGGTCAAAATTTTGAATAGCTAAAACCACCATGAAATCTGAAAAAAAACATCCGGTTATCTTAATATTTCACGCATCCCATTATTTCGACTAACACAAGATCTGCTGTGAAGATGGGATATATCGGTCAATTCCTTCTGCTACATCCCCCAAAAAATGGTCCAAATTTTTAACATCCCTGAAGCTCATAAAACGCGAAATAAGCATCCAACTATCTTCAAATTTTAAACAAACAAACAATTTTGCCAACAAAAGATCTGTTGTGAAGATGATATATATCAGCGAACCCCTTCTGATATTAACCCACCCACAAAAGGGTCAACATTTTCAATACATATATGTCATAACTTGTGAAGCTAGTGAGCGATTCTTTAAAACTTCTTACCTTTAAATATTGGAACATTTTGTATGGTTTAGTGGCTCCGGTCAAAAAACCAATATAACCCCTTAGAATGACTTTACGGCATGAACCCCCGATATTCGCCATTTTGATGATTTTAGCAACATTTTTAGCGGAATTGTTCACAATTTCGTATTTGAAGTTTGTAATAGGTACTATATGCCTTTGACACAAAATCGCGTATACAGGTCCATGTCTTCACACAGCCCTCATACAAAGGTACCTCTTGATATTCGGCATTTTGATGATTTTAAGAACATTCTTAACCGGAATTGTTTCAAATTTGGTATTTAAAGTTCGTAATGAATACTTCAGCCTGAGACAGAAAATTGTCTCTACAGGTCCACGTCTTCTTATAGCCCCCCATATAATGGTACCTCCCGATATTCGGTATTTTGAAGATTTTAGCGACATTATTCAACCAAATTGTTTAAAATTTGGTATTTGAAGTTCATAATGAATACTTCAGCCTAAGACAGAAAATTTTCTCTGCAGGTCGACGTCTTCGTATAGCCCCCATATAAAGGTGCCTCCCGATATTCGGTATTTTCATAATTTTAGCCACATTATTCACTGGAATAGTTTCAAATTTGGTATTTGAAGGTCGTAATGAATAGTACAGCCGAAGACAAAAATTTGTCTGTGCAGGTCCACGTCTTCGTATATCCCCCATATAACGGTACCTCCCGATATTCGGTATTTTGATGACTATAGCAACATTATTCACTGGAATAGTTTCAAATTTGGTATTTGAAGTTCGTAAAGAATTGTACAGCCTAAGACAGAAAATTGTCTGTGCAGGTCCACGCCTTAGTATAGCCCCCATATAACGGTACTTCCCGATATTAGGCATTTTGATGATTTTAGTGACATTATTCACCGGAATGGTTTCGAATTTCCTCTTGGAAGCTCGAAATTTGTACTACAAACTATGACGTACAATTGCCTGTGGACACCCCTTCATATAACCCGCATATAACGGCACCTCCCTTTACTTATATTTGAAAAGTTTTTATTTTTTTCGAATAAAAATGAAATACGCATATGATTTTTTTTACATCTATTTATAAAAGCAGCATTTTAAATATTCAGTATATTATGTAACATTTTGTCCCACTGTCAATTGTTTACACACACGCATACCTTGTAGCACAATTCCATTTCACTTCAAAAACATCTAATAAAATTAGCATAAATACAAAATACGCTATGAACTGCAAACCCATGTTGAACTCTGTGCATCGCCAACTTAACCAGGCAAGTGCACTTCAAGTTTGACAACCGACGAAAGCGGTAGGAGGCTGAATTGTTTTTTTTTTCCGAAAATAAAAAAATATTCCATACAAGGGACTAGCACACACAGCAAAGTGGCGATAAAAGTTTGCAAAAATGCTGATAAAATTTGCCACTGCAGTAAGTTGGATATAATTAGTGAATGTAAAGGAAATTCAGAACTAATCAATTGCCATTTTAGTTAATCGTAATTGTTAGCGTTGGAGCCCAAAGCCGTCAATATGCCTACCAGAAGCCGCTGGTGCCATTCTATGGTGATGATGGAAAACCTCGTTATTTGACCACCACCAATCGCATGATTATACCCGTGGCAACGGGTCGTAACTATGAAGTTAGTATGTCACCATCGAATAAGTTTGTGGAAATGCGTTTGGAGCAGAGACAAGGATATCCGGTGGTCCAGCAGCAAAGATATTCACAGCACTCAGCAGTGGTTGGGGCAAGTACCACTGCCCACCTGGGTGGAACTGCTTTGGCTCCGGCAAATACACATATCGCCCATGCTAATCAAAGGTTAGTTACCAATCCAGTAGGACAAACGCCATATCATCAACATCCAGCCGTAAATGGACAGGTGTATGCTGCTGCCCATGGCACAGGTCAAGCGCAATATCACCATCACCATCATCAAGCAGCAGTTAATACCCATCAGCAAGCCCATTACGCTCCAGTTGCTCAACCTAGTGCAGGTCATTTGGCCACCCAAGTAAATCAAGGCGTCTTGCAACATCATGGCCATGCCGCTGTACAGCAACACCAACAACATCATTTGGTAGCAAACACTCAAGCCTTGACTCAACATCGAACTGCTCCCATAGTCCAACATCAGCAACAACAGCAGCAATACCCAATTGCCACCCATCAGGCCTTAGTAGCCCATCCAATTCAAGCACCCAATATACAACAACAACACTCACAACAATTTCCCACACCAAATAATCCTCCCTCAGCTCGATTTGTGACAAAATGTCATCCCAACGGACACTGTGAACAGGTAGCACAGGATCAACAACATTCGGCGGTTGTACAACAAGCTCGATCTCATATTGCTCAAACGGGTGGATCGACATGCAACGGCCTCTATGCCCAAGGTACAGCGCAAGGTTCTGCCCCACCCCATAAAGGTCTTCGTGACAGACGTTTGTTCCCCTACAGTGAGGTGCCAATTGCTGCCTATCCCTTCAACAAGTGAAGTGAAAGGGCGGATCTTAGTTAAAAAATCTGTGGAATTGTATTAATTATAGCTTAGCTGTTTTTTTGTTGTTATTATTTATGATTGTTTTGTTGTATGGCTTTTAAAATGAAGATCATTAATAATTTACATTAATGGATGTATGTTGACTACGGATGGAGTCATGGAGGACGGGTGAACTCGTTAACCTTAAACCAATTAGAAGTCAAACGAATTGATTTATTTAGTGCCGTAGCCCATGACCACAAACGCAACAACTTTAAAGTTAATAAGTTTTAGATCTGTGTAAAAATCGATATCGATTTAGACATGTGACATCGATTTAGGTTTATCAATTTAGACAAATGACTGCTGCTACCTATGTCAGAGCTAGACCAGACGGTTTATCTTCTATTTGTTTAAAAGAAAAATGAAAAAAAAAACTGACTGACTGAACGAGAAACAACGCTCAGACGAAACGACAGAAGCTAAAATTTTGAAATTTGACACGAAGGTCAGTCTTGGTTGCCTAGGCCTGTGATAAGACTGGGTTGTTGAAAATACGTGCTAAATAGGTACGAAAATTACTAAAAAAAATGTAATACTCTGTAATGGACGAACGGAATGAGCTAGAACTCTGAAATTTGGAATGAGAGTCACTGATGGAGTGCAGAATAGATGTGTCAAAGGGTTTTTGGAAGATATGGAGTACAGGATAGATGTGCCAAAGGGTTTTTCGAAGTTCCAACTTTAAGTTTACGAAAAGTTCTAAAATGGTACAAAACTTTTAAACTGCTACCATTATGGATTATGTGACCGTATAGAGCTAAAGAATTGAAATGTGGTATATGAACCTAGGTCCGAAAATAAATTTCACATTTTCAGGTGGTTCTGGAAATGTGTACCAAACTGTACTAAATTTGGAACAGTTTGGTTTAGAGTGAACGGATGAAGATGCAATTTTGTATTGAAATTTTGAAGATGAAATTTTGTATTGGTGGCAGATTTGCGAATTAAAAATATGTATGAAAAGTACTACAGGACTGCCATATTCGACGGACCCATGTTTTTTTTTTTTTAAATCAAAGAAAAAAAAATAAAAATTTGGCGGTTGGCAATGTTAATCATTTAATTTGTTCCAAGAAGATTTGTTTACATCAATTTTTGAATATGATATCTCTCAAATGGCCGCCTCTGGCGTTCATGACGTTTTTGCCAACATTTCGGCCGGAATAGCGGCTATTTCTTCACGAATGTTGTCCTTGAGCTCTTCTACGGTCCTTGGCTTGTTAACCTTAACCTTTGACTTCAAATATCAGCAAAAGAAGAAGTCAGGCCGCGTCAAATCGGGCGAACGCGGTGGCCAGTCCAAATCACCACTTTTCGACATCAAACGGCCCTTGTTGAAACCAGAACTGCCTCATACGCTTTCGACGAATAATTGGCATCACAAAATTGGTCATTATGTCGCGATAACGCTCCTGATTGATGGTAACAGCATGGTCATTTTCATTTTGGAAGAAAAACGGCCAAATGACCGTTTTCGCACTAATGCCGCACCAAACTGTGACTTTTTCGTCATGAAGAGGCACTTCTTGAATCTCCTGAGGATTTTCAGTGGCGTAAAAACGACAATTTTGCTTATTTACGGTCCCATTCAATGTGAAATGGGCTTCATCGGACATGATAATTTTGTTCCAAAATTGCTCGTCATCTTCGGCCATTTCGATGACTCTTTGGGCCCATTTCAATGACTCTTTGGGCCCATTCCAATCGACGAGGCTTGTCCGCAGGCAACATTCTTTGCGTCAATTGAATTTTGTACGGGAACAAATGCAAATCAATGCGAATAATCCGTTGTAAAGTGGACCGAGCCATGCCCCACTGCTGAGAACGGCGTTTCTGGGATGTTCTTGGGGACCTCTCAACACTGGCTCGTACGGCAGCGAAATTCTCGGCCGATCGCCTTGGTCGACTTTTATATGGCCTCTTCGGATTAGAAAGAGCCTTACCAGTAGGAAATTTTTCGTATAAACGCTTAATGGTGTTCGTAGAAGGCTCACTTCTCACATTTTTTAATGTTTTAAAAGCACGTTGAGTTTTCACAATTGACTTCTTGTAAATTTCAACTATTTCAGAGAGCTCGCGTGGCGTGTATTGGTTCATGGTAAAAATCAGCTTGGACTGACGCTTCAAACGCGGTATGTCATTAAGCGATGTGAGATCTCTGTCAAAAGTTATGGCGTTGCCAGATGGGACCGTTGAATATGGGCAACCTTGTATGAACCTAGGTCGGAAAATAAGTTTCACATTTTAAGGTGGTTCTGGAAGTGTGTACTAATTGTGCAAACTGTACCAAATGGTACCAAATTTGGAACAGTTTGGTTTAGATATGGATGAAGATGGGATTTTGAAATTTTGTATTGGGGTGGGTCCCTATTGGTGGCAGGTTTGCGAATTAAAGTTGATTTTAGAAATATGTATGAAAAGTACTAAATAGTACTACATTTGGTACATTTTGGTATTAGGTGAAAAGATAGTGCTTGAAATCTACAATTTGGTATTAAGGTCGCTGTTCATGTTTAGCCTGGACATATGGAGGTGGTTTCCGAAATCTACATAATAATTGTACGAAAAGTACTGAATGGTACTATATGTGGCAGTATCTGATGCCCGGTATCAAATATCATTGTTTTGGAGTACATATTACGTATGTGGGGGACTTTAACACCAAATGGAATGAAACATAAATATGGGAGCTATAGCTATATCTGAACCGATTTTCACCACAATTTGAAGTACTTGATTCTGGATTAAATTCCGTCGGTAGTGTCAATATTCACTCCATTTGGGCTGATATTAGCCATTTGGTGAAAAATAAACATGAAATCAGATATCTGATACCAAAGATTATTGTTATATGTGAGGGACTTAAAAATGCAATTCGAATAAAACATATATATGGGGGCTTTAGCTATATCTGAGCAGATTTTAGACTGGGTTCGGTCGGAAGTTCCAAAATTCAGGTCGTTTGGACTGGTATTGGCCGTTTGGTGCATAATTTACGCAAAATCGGTTGATAATATATATGAGAACTATATCTAAATTTGAACCGGTTTTCACTTATTTCAATAGGGTTCGTTCTTGGGCCAAACGAATCTTGTTTGGAAAATTTTATCTCAGTCTGATAATAAGTGCGACCTGCATTTTATTTACAAAATTAATTGGACAGACAGGCAGACTGATATGCATAAATCAACTCAGAAAGTGATTCCATGTTGATCCTCAAAAGTAATTATGGGCCTATCTCTATTTATTCTCCATGTTACACACAAATGCACCAAGCCATAATACCCTTACCGCTATGTAGTGTAGGGTATAAAATTGTTTTTTTTTTTTCATATCATATGATAGTTCTTATGATATTTTTTTTTACTTTTTAAGAGAAGAATGCTGTCTTCCACAAAAAACTTTCCGGTATTCTGCTATAAAGGCATTCGGTCTTTTATGATTAAATTTCCTTATCTTATATAGAAAGAGGTTTAGTTTCAAAAATTACTTCTGGGGAAGAAGACTTTCTGCTTTCTATTAGAGACATTTTGGGTTCACATAAGAAGACCCTTTGGTATCTTATGAGAACGCCTTTCTGCTTCAGTTAAAGAAGCTGTACAGAATTTTTATGACCGGCCTAAATGCCTTAAACAATAAAGCTAATAAACATTTTTATTTAAGATAATAAATCTGTGTATTGTCCGTTGAGAAAATCATTGCTCGCCTTCTATGAGGAGGTACTGTCGGAATCTAATAGGAGACCTTGGCATGGAAGACGTAAGAAGACCATCTAGCTTTCAGTGACTCGGCCTTCAGGCTTGCGAAAAAAATAGATTCCGAATGAAGATGTGAGAAAAGCTTCTAGGCTTCAGTGACCTTCTGATTTGTGTAAGAATACTATAGAATGAAGGCCGGCTGTTCTACTGTGAGGTCTTATGTAGTATTTTTAGTTTACTCTGAGAATATCTTCTGGTCTTCTATAAAAATATCTTTCGGTCTTCAATGAGAGAACCTAGGAGTCACTTAAAAGTACATTTCTGGTTTTCTCAATGAGGAAACCATCTTAGCATTTTTCTAAAAGACGATCATGTTGTGGTCTTTTTGGAACAGGCCTTCCGGTGTTCTATAGGGAGACACTAAAACACATTTCTGGTCTTCTATAAGAAGTCACTTTGGTCTTCAGGTCTAGTCTTGCAATAAATCTTCTTGACTTATTTTGGAATATATTCAACTCCTTAATAAAAAAAACTTCTAGCCTTCTGTAAGAACACCCTCTGACGTTCCACGAAAAGGCTTTGCGGTTTTTAAAAGAAAATGTCTGGTCTTGTGTAAGAAGATTTTACAGTTTTTATTGCAAGACATTTTGGCGCATTTTCAGATGTATTTTTGGTTAATTTTGAGAATTAATTTTAATTAAACCATATGGTCGTTCTCTTTGAGGATAACGTTATTTTATTTATTTTTTTGAGATTTTTGAGGTTTGTCACAGAAATTTCTAAAGTGGCTTCAATGAAAGAGTTAAAGACGGAGAGCCCAAGTGATTGGGCAACCCATGGGGTCAAATCGTGAAAAGCTCCAATTTTCATTTGTTCCATGCAGACATTTTTTTTGGGAGACCCTCATTAGAGTTCACGATAAAATAATAGTAACAACAATAATAATAACAGGAAAACAAATATGTTTTGTAATGCAAAATAATCTAACTTTTAAATTACAGGTTGAGATAAAACAACTGCAACAAAGTCAAACGCCATAATTTTTAATTTTTTTTAAAATTTTATTGAATGAAAGCAAAAATATTAGAAATAGCATCAAATTCTAGAATAAGTTTAGATCTGTTCGAATTGGTCACCTTTGGCACGAATTATGGCCAATGAAAACGTCACACGCTGCCCAAATTTTGCTCTGTGGCATTCTGACACATTCCCGGCAAAGCGCTTGCTTAAGGTGATCGACACTTTGGTATTTCTTAGAGCCAACCTTGATTTCCAAAATACTCCAGACACAATAGTCCAACGGATTGGTATCCGGGGTTTTGGTGGCCATGCGCTGGAAATGATGCGAGGAACCTCATTTTGTGACCATTCTTGGTTGGCGCA